ATATCAAGGATTTTCGGCCAATTAGCTTAATCGGATGTATGTATAAGCTTATTGCCAAGGTTCTTGTTTCCAGGATGAGTAAAGTGTTGGATGGTCTTATCTCAGAATCGCAGAACGCTTTTGTTGGTGGAAGGCAGATTTTGGATTCTGTTCTTATTGCTGGGGAATGTGTTGACTCTAGATTAAGAAGCGGGGTTCCTGGCGTTTTGTGTAAGCTTGATATCGAGAAAGCTTATGATCATGTTAATTGGAAGTTTGTTTTGTATCTTCTTCGGAGGATGGGATTTGGTGATAGATGGATAAAATGGATTGACACTTGTATCTCATCAGTTATGTTTTCTGTTCTTGTGAATGGCTCTCCTGCGGGTTTTTTTGCTAGCTCACGTGGTCTGCGACAAGGTGATCTATTATCTTCTTTTCTTTTTCTCATTGTTATGGAAGGTCTGACTAGATTAATGAGAAAAGCGGAAGATTTGGGTTACATTAGGGGGTTCAGAGTTGGCAGAGATGTTGATCATCAGATCCAGATTTCCCATCTTTTATTTGCTGATGATACTTTGGTATTTTGTGATGCTGATATTTCTCAACTCAGATATCTGAGGTGCACTCTTGCTTGCTTCCAAGCAGTTTCTGGGCTTAAGATTAATGTCGGAAAGAGTGTGCTTGTTCCAGTGGGGGATGTTCCAGATATTTCCTCCTTAGCTGCTGTTTTAGGGTGCGGAGTTGGTTCTTTTCCTCTTCCTTATTTAGGATTGCCTTTGGGAGTTTCTTCTACTCTGGTTGGGAATTGGGACTCAGTGATTAATAGATATGAGAAAAGATTATCTATCTAAGGGTGGGAAAGTCACACTTATAAAGAGTACTCTTTCATCCCTTCCTACCTATTTTTTGTCTTTGTTTCAAATTCCATGTTCTGTTGCTAATAGAATTGAAAAAATTCAGAGGGATTTTCTGTGGGGTGGAAGGGGAGAGGAGTTTAAGTATCATCTTGTTAATTGGGATCAAGTTTGCCAACCATTGAGATTCGGAGGGTTAGGCATTCGAAAAATTGTTCCTTTTAATCGTGCTCTCTTAGGAAAGTGGTTATGGCGATTTGGAAGGGAACGACATCGTCAGTGGAGAAGAGTTGTCTCGTGTCGTTTTGGTGAGGGGAGTGGGGGTTGGTCATCTCTTCCAGTTACTATTACGGGAGGCGTTGGTTTGTGGAAATTTATTCGGAAGGGATGGGATGTTTTCTCTACTCTTATTAGATTCAAAGTTCGTAATGGCAGGCATGTTCGTTTTTGGGAGGATCTTTGGTGTGGCGACCAGTTGCTTTCACACTCATTTCCTAGGCTTTATAGCATTGCAACTAATAAGCATGTTTTCGTGATTGATTGTTATCATCTTGATAACAATGGAGTTACGTGGGATGTGCGGTTTAGGCGGTCTTTTCAGGATTGGGAAATGGAGGAAGTTTCTGCTTTTTTGGATATTTTGTATAGGCAGAAGGATATTGGCAGAGGGTGTGATGATATTTTGTGGGTTCCTTTGGCTCATGGTCGGTATGATGTCCGCTCTATGTTTATTCATTTATCCAATTTCGTTGGTTCCGAGTTTCCTTGGAAGTCCGTGTGGTGCTCTAAAGCCCCTCTTCGAATCGCGTTCTTCGCTTAGACAGCTACATTGGGGAAGATTTTGACTTTGGACAATTTGAGAAAGAGAGGCAACATCATTGTTAATTGGTGTTGTTTATGCAAATACGATAGTGAATCCGTGGATCATATTCTTTTGCATTGTCCTGTGGCGTTTGGTTGTTGGAGTTTTATTTTCATCATTTTCGGCATTTTTTGGGTAATGCCTAAGCACTCCTCTCAGTTGATTAACGCTTGGAAAAGCTGTCCTGTTAAGAAACAAGCTCGTGCTTATTGGAAGATTGTTCCTCATTGTGTCTGGTGGTGTTTGTGGCGTGAGAGAAATAACAGATCCTTTGAAGGAAAAGAATCGTCCTTAGCTAATTTAAAAATTCATATTCTTCGTTCTTTATTCTTTTATGTTAGAGGAAGTACATGCTCCTCGATTGATGATTTCTTTGATCTCTTGGATTCTATTAGTCCTTAGATCTTTTCTCTTGTATTAGGGATGCGTTCCCCTTTTGAACGTTTTTCTAATATATTTTTACTTATCAAAAAAAAAAAAAAAAAAGTCTGAAAAATCAAGTATAAAATGCAAAACAAAACAAATCTGGAGGTTCCTAAAAGTCACACCACACTGAACTTTCTGATTCAGAAAAACTTAAAAGCATGCAATCTGAATAATAGATGGTACTTATATAGTGGCTCCTCTACACATGACGGGATAAATCAAAGTTTGAAAAACTTGAAAAACAATTATGGTGGTTCAGTCGTTTTTGGAGATAACAACAGGGCAAACATAATTGGGAAAGGCACAATCACATAAACTAATGAAGTTCCTACTATAAAATGATGTATGTAGATGGGCTTAAGCACAACCTGTTAAGTGTTAGTCAATCATGTGATGATGAAAATTAGTTTGCTTTGACAAAAATGTTTGTAAAATTATACATGAATCAATTGGAAAAACTCTGTTTCTGCAAACAGGTCTTCACGAAATGTTTACACCAACAGTAAAGAATCATCTAGTAATGTTTGCAATTACTCTAACATATATGAGAGTGTTCTTTGGCACAAAAGACTAGAACATGTTAACAGCAAAAATATAATGAAAATTCAGAAACACAAAGCTACTAACGGACTACTTCTTTGAAAATCAGAGAGAAAATGTGTGTAAGGCATGTCAATTGGGAAAACAGACCAAAGTTTCTTTCAAGTTGAAAGAGCTGAACACCTTGAAACCCCTTGAAATCATTCAAATGGATCTATGTGGCCCCACTAGGACTACTAGCATTGGTGGAAGCAAAATTCTTCATGCTAATTGATTATTACAGTAGGATGACCTAGGTGTAATTTCTCAAAGAAAAATCAGAAGCTATAAATTTCTATAGAAAATATGTTAATCTTGTCAAAAATGAGAAAGGTTGCAGGATAAAGAGACTAAAGCCAGAGTTTGGAACTGAATTTACTGTCAGTTGGAAGTCCTAAATCATTCTGTCACTAAACTGATTGCTTGCTTCAGTTAACCATTCAAGTCCCAAAATAATTCCTTCATTAAAGCAAATTTTTGAAACCCAAAAACCAAAAACCAATTAACCCCTCCCCTCTTGGTTCTTCACCTTGTATGTTCAACTTCTCTTTAAGACACAAAGATCATAACAAATACTAAGACTAAACCCAATTAAAATGTCCGCCACATATGTTTTATGTTGATTTACAAAGCCCAAGAGTGACAGTATTGAAGCAACCTAAAGCACATTATCTATGTTGGATCCATAATGTACCAATTTCTGAAAGCAATCAATAACAATAACCACCAATCACAATAACAATTTCTAAAAACAACGAATAACAATGCCGAATTAAAATAATCACATTGGGTAATAGGTATATGTTAGGTTAGATACTATGGCAAATTTCTGAAAGCAATCAATAGCAAATTCTCAGAGGTTCTTTCTGCCCAAGTATCTTTTTCTGTAATAAAAAATTGATGAATTTTACTAGTAAAATTGGTGAGATGTTAAAATAAATGTGCTAAAGTGTAAACAGTTAGATATTGAGGGGGAAAAAAGTGTGGAGAAAGTCCTACTAGGTGCAAACAATTCCTTGGAGAGGGAGGGAGGGAGGGGGTGTACCAACTAGGAAAAAAAAGTGTGCAGAAAGTTTAGTTTACTCTCTTTGACACGACAATTTTGTGCCTGTCTTTTTCGGAAAAAAAGGGGACCAGACCTTTTAGGTAATAGGTAGGGTTAGGTCCGGCTACCGCCTCATGGGCGGTTGCTGTCGGTGGCGGTGGTTCGATTGGTCTCATCAGTCCTGGTTAATTTCTCTTCTTTCTTTAATTAATTTAGATTTTAGAATTAACAGTCTTAGTTTGGGTTAAAAAGGGTCGCCTGCCTACTATGAACTCGTGGAGGAGTTGAAGAACTACTAGTGGGCCCCATTGGTCGTGTGACAACGGAGATCCATTAATGGTAGGACCCATTGATTGTATGTGTACGAAGTACCATTTAGGGGAGTTTGACTCACTTTCTTGGTCAGACTTTTCATAATTAATTGCAACTGATTTATTTAAGGGAATTCTTGTGGGCTTCAATTCAACAGGCACTTGTTGCTTACACCTCCTTCACACAAACTCCAATTTAGTCAAAGTCTTCGAGAGAGAGAGAGAGAGAGAGAAAGAAGCCGGTATATTCAGATTCACATGTTAGTTGTGACAAATTTATTAGTACTAGCACCTTGATCAAAGTCAAAGCTTAACTACTGACTTGGTTGCAGACTTGTATCAAATGTCTTTCTATTGTTGTATTAACGTGGTATTATGTGTCATGAAGCTAATACATTTGAAACATTCAAGGGGAGCAAATTCAGATTGAAATGTGGTGCAAATGTATTATTACTATGATCAAAGTCAAAGTTTGATTTATAGAATCTATAATTATTCTCACTTTGGTGTCATTCTTAGGAAGATAATTATATTTAATTAACTACGAGAAACACAAGAACAATTACATGCCTAGAACTGAAGCGAGTTTAATGGAGTTATGCTCAGCAATAGAAAGCATGCATTGACAGTAAGAACTCAAAAGAATGGTGTAGCTAATGACGTAACAATAGAATATGTTGAGATGTTTTGGGTAGCTTTGAGGCCCCCTCATGAATGTGATTATAGTCACTAATTGTGTTACAGAGGCCAACAATGACCCAGAACTAATTGAAGCAACCTAAAGCAAATTAACTATGTTGGATTCATACCATAAAAATTTCTAAAAACCAATAACAATGGCAAATTGAATAAAAAATATAAAACAGATCGGCATTACAACAGCATAGGACAGATAATCATCATCATCAACCCGTGTGGTTTAGAGAGAGAAAGGAAGAGACCTGGAGCTTGTTCAGCTGGATGTATTCCCAGAGCTTCCTTGTGGCATCATGACGGGAAGATTTCGAGACACTGCCAAGGAATTTCCCAAGAGCCGGTGATATTGATACAACCTCATTTACATCGATTAGCCTACTGAAATTCCTAGTGGCAATGATTGAGGCTGCGGTGGAGCTCTTGATGGCCGCCATGAAAGCACTGCAAGACCTTGCAAAAACCCTGGAAGACATGTCTCTTCGTCTCCCAATGCCTGCAAAACAAAATATTCAGAAGAGCTAGCTAGTAAGAGTGGATGGAACAATCATGTTTTCTTCTGTGAAAATTAATCAAACACAAAATTAGATTGCAAATATATCACCACAACACCAAGCACCATGCATTTGCAGATTTAAGAAAAGAACCCCACATTGAAGTATAGTAGAAGCCAATCCACAAAATCAGATTGCAAATATCTAACCACAGCACCATGCATTTTCAGATTTAAGAGAGATCAGATGTGTGTTCTGTTTGAATTTAGCACTTAAATAATAATCAAACACCAATCAACCAAGGTGAAGAATATAAAGTAATTTCATGTGATCAGAATCATCATATCTGTGTCAAACACAAAATTAGATTGCAAATATATCACCACAACACCAAGCACCATGCATTTGCAGATTTAAGAAAAGAACCCCACATTGAAGTATAGTAGAAGCCAATCCACAAAATCAGATTGCAAATATCTAACCACAGCACCATGCATTTTCAGATTTAAGAGAGATCAGATGTGTGTTCTGTTTGAATTTAGCACTTAAATAATAATCAAACACCAATCAACCAAGGTGAAGAATATAAAGTAATTTCATGTGATCAGAATCATCATATCTGTGTCAAAGATAAAGAAATTTGATGAGATCAAATTTGTGTTCTGTTCGAATTGAACCCTTAAATCATAATCAAACACAAGTCAACCAAGTTGAAGAATATATAACAGAATTAGCAGAAAACTAAAGTAACATAGCCACATTAACCAAAGCTGATCCTTATTTGAAACTTCACCAAATAGCTTCAATTATAAGTACAAAAGCATTCAAATATATCTGCTGATACAGTGTAAGCTGGAGATTCTGTATATAATCAAACCAAACATGCATTTCAACCATAACATACCAGCATACATGGACACAATACTACATATTATTAAGTTGAGTATGTGTGTGTCTGTATATATATATGTGTGTTCAAATTTAATTCGAAAGAGAGAGAGCAAATTGTGAAAAGGACCAGCCTTGTTGGCATAGAGGGGGACTCGGCCTCCAGCTTTGTTGTAACAATGATTGGAAGAAGAGTGAAGGTAAATGCGGATTTACAGTATTACTTAGAGTAATGCTACTATGAGGTCTCCCTCATGACACTTCTCATAAGCTCTCCTTTAAATTAGCATACTTTGGTCAAAGAAAATAATGCACGAATTATATCATGTTGTTGCCAATATTTAAGTGATCTTACTGTAAAAAAAAATCAGTACAAAATACGATAAAATGAAGACATACAAGATGGTCAAAGTTAATACTGTAATTGGGTCAAAAGAAAGAATTTGTAAGACTTTGACTGATTCGTGTGACTGTAAAAGAATTTTAGTATGAATTTTGACTATACTAGCCAATTAAATCACTCTATCTAGAACTTCTGCAGATCTCCCCCTTCCCCCATTTAGATGCAACTATTGATTAAGACAATAAGGTATTCACCATTTAACAGTTTGTCTGCAATTCTACAGCCTTTATAACCCATTCATAGTGGTGACTAAATTGTTCAATTGCATTTTACAAAGAGAGAGAAGCCAAAGGGTCTCTCAACCTGAAATGACCACCACTTATAATTGATTACACCCATGCTCGGTAAAACAAAAAGTACAAAAGAAACAACTAAAAGGACAACAATGTCATGATTCCATTACTTACATTTTGATCAAACAGCAATATTCCTCACACCAATTTATAGCTCAAGGACAACAACAATCATACCATGTCCATCCATTCCTTGATAAAGGTTGTGAGAGTTCTCTATAAATAAATACTGATAAATAAGCACGTATATCGGCTTAAGAGACCCCAATGCTAAGATTTCGTAATAGCAACTATGTTCATGACATGTGATGTGTGAAAATTTATAATTAAATATATATAAATATATCTATATATACACAGAGAGAGAGAGAGAGAGAATGTAAAAGCATCATACACAGAAAAGGTAATAGTTCATACGTGATAGCATTTGGTTCTTTTATTCCTTGAAAAAAAAAATAACATTACAAAAATGAAAAGAATCAGGTTGGATTTCATTTCATAAGTTTGGAAAGCCTAACCCAATCATCTGCACCGCCATCGTATTCTAAAAATCAACATTACGCATGGTTTGCATTATGTATCAGCCAGACCCATTAAAATGTGTAAGATTTGTGCATCTTAGTGAGGTTGTGCCTTACTTTAATTTACTGTAACATCACACTTGCTCTATTCACTCAACAAAGCCTTTTCCCAGCTACTTAGGATCATGTAATATCATTTTTCTATTCTGCTCTAAGGTCATAGCATATCTAAGGCCATAATTTATAACAAGACAGTAAAATATGATTTTTATTATATTACTGTTTATTTACTTCCACATTGTAGCAGCCTAAAGATGGAGGTGTGAGTATTTAGAAAGAAAGCTAACCTAAACACACAAATGAGTCAAAATTTTGATAATCTACAAAAAAGTTCCAAAAAGCTAGATACTCGTGACCAAATCTACAATCAGCATGCTTCACAACAGAACTGAATTGATAAAGTAGTATATGTGAAAACAAACAACCCAAGAGAAAAGAGAAAGAAAGGAAACATGAAGGAAAACATCAAGTGAAATGTCAAACAAACTTCAATCCATGAAGATTTGTCCCCATGTATCTTCCCAAATTAAATCAATAAAAAGAGGTTTATGAGCTCACATGGATATTTGTCCCCATTTTTACTCCATAATTAGGAATGATACTAGGTGTACAAATAATTTTTTGATTAGAGAGAGAAATATTCATAAAGATAAGCAACAGGGTAGATCTGAACATGCTGATGATTTTGAGAGCTCCAGCCTATGGCATGTGAGACAAAATTCACTTCTAAATATACTAGTTTGTTCATTATAGAACCATCAGTAGCAATTATATCAATTCTACTGTTATGTAGTAATTCCTTTTGGCCATCGCCTAGTTCTAGCCGAATCTGCATTTTTCTTTAGTGATCTACCCTAAATGCTTCCTGTGAGTGGGTTTATAGTGGGCTTATAGTAATAATTAAACCAATTAACCAACCAATTAGTTAGAAAATGAAATTATACATTTCCGGTATTCAATATTTTACTTTCTTTCAGTTACATATTCCATTTTACACATGGATTCAAACCATTAAAACATATTAAACCAATTTGTCAAAACGATACAAATTGTTTCAAAGAACCAACATGCACCAATTATTTATTTGCGGGCTTTTATTAAGTAAAATAAATAAAAGACATGGCTCCACATGTTCTGACTCATTAATCAGAGAAAATTGAAAGTCCAATGTGATCGAATCACATTCTAAACTTAATTCCAAAATAAAAAAGGGGATAAACCCTAAATGTAAATAGTATGAAACAGAAAAGTATCATACAACTACAATAAAAGTTATTGCCATCGGAGATTTTGCACGTAAATCAATATCAAGAGCTAGATCTTGAGCACAATTTCTATCGCTTACTAAAAAACAGCGAAACAATGGAAGAACAACGAAATCGAAATTCAAAAAGATCAATTACATGCAGATTCACATGAAATAAGCCACAGAAGAAATCGTAACAGTGAAATATGATAGAAAGATGACGAGTCTAGAGAGAGAAAGTGGGGGAGAGAGTTTTTCTGACCTGTGCTGTGCTCTTCGGATCAGATTTGGACCGAAGCGATTCGGCGGAGGGGGTTTTTAAATAACCAAGAAAGAAATTTTCTAAATCATTTTGTCTTATTTATTTATCTTATTAGCGAGTTGGTTGGTTTTAGCCTTTTTACATAGCATATTTTTAAGTATATTGAAATTTATCTTTAAAAAATATAAAATATATAATAAAAAAAGAAAAGAAGAAGGTGGGGAAATGATAAATATTTTGTTCCACCACCAAAAATTATTTGAACCGTAAGGCTCCCCATTTGTTTGGACCTGAAAGATTTTTTGAAAAATATTTTAATGATTTGTTAGTGTTTTGTGGTTTAAAAGATAGGACTCTAAATGAGCCGAGCCGAGTTGAGTTCGGGCTCAATTCGCCAATGCTAGAATAGGGCTCGGGCTCAGCTCACCAGATTTTTGGCGAGCTCGGGCTCAGCTTGGGCTCGCCATATCCAACAACAGGGAAAAAAATAAAATAAAATTTGAGGAGCGTCAAATCTGTACGGTATTCCATCAATCTGTACGGTATTCAAATCTATGGAATAAAACCATTGTCCTCTCTTTCGCCGACCTCCGATCATCTGGTACAAGAAGTCAACGACAATAACGATTCCATCAACACTAAAATGGGATTGAGAGACATAAAAGAGATCTTTGATGGAGACCGGTTACCGGAGAGAGAAAAAGAAAGAATCTATGTTGGAGAACCGTTGCCGGAGAGACAGAGAAATCTATTGGAGAATCGTCGCCAACAAGCAAGAGAGCAGAGGCGATGCTGCGTTGCAGCTGTATATATTTAGGGTTTTCATACTGAGTATAAGGAATCCAATGCTGATAATATTGTTCTTATATATTTAGGGTTCAAAAGGGATCATTTGCAACACTACTTAAAGGATTTGAGTGATTTGGAAGGATTTGAGTGATTTGGATTCCTACATGCATCAACCTCACCATCATTCACAACCTACCAATCAATCCACTGTTCGGTGACTCTCCCTAAAACCAACATCACTCTCATTGTATCCTTTATTTATGGGAGCAATTCAGCTTTTGACAAGAGAGCCATTTGGTCTAACATCTCACATCACTGTAATGACCCGGTTATTTTCTTCCTTTTCCCTTTTTCCTCAAATTTTGTGGATAAATTTTTTCCGTTGTCTTTTCTTTTCTGTGGATGGTTTTTCGTCGCTTAGTGTCATCTCGAGTGCTCAGAATTGGTTTCTGAGACTCTTTCATGTGAATTGACAACTTCCTTTGAGGACCGAGTCATTTTTGCATTTTTCGTTTTTGGACACTATGCGCTATTTCGTCTTTTCCCTATTCTGTCATTTTCCCTATTTCGTCTTATCTCCATTTGTCAGTTTTTGGCACAACCTCACTTCTTGTGCTTGGAGTTGGTTTTTGACTTCACGTATCCTTATCGTGAGTGGTTTCCACGAAATACGTATCTTTACTTTTGTAATAAAGTTCTCTGGTTGCTCTTGGTGCCCATAGGGACATGGATGCATAAATCTTTGGAATTTATTTTATTTCTTGGGATGTTTTTCATAAATATCTTTTGAAGATATTTTATTTTAGGGGCATCTAAGAAAATATCTTTTGGAAGATATTTTCATTTTGGGGCAATTTCGCAGTTAACCCTTTTTGTAGGGGGCCATTGTGCAATTAATGAAAGTTATTGCAAAATGTCTCGTCTGGAGCCTGGATCCTCGTACATGATTCATTTTCACTTTTTGTTGACTTGTAAATTCATAGAATTCTGTTCTGATCGTTTTTCTCCAGTTTCAAAGTTTCTGGACCCGGTTGTCGTCGAACTTGTTCGGGGCATAACTTTCTGCTCGGGACTCGGTTTTTGGCGCCGTTTCTTCCTTTGTTCATATTTTCTCATTTAGAATCTTTTTCATTCACAGAGTTTTGCCGTTTAAGCGCGTTTGCTCAAAATCCACTTTTTCGGACCCGGTGGGGCCCTTTCGGGGCACTTTTTGTGATTTACTATAAATAGGTGCCTTAAAGAAGAAAAATCAGATTTTCTTCTTCTTCCTCCTCTCCTTGTACGACCAAAGGCAGCCATGGATGCCCATGGAGCTGCCATCTTCTGTCTCCTCCTTTAACCTACTTTTCCTAAGTGAAAATCCTTCGGCCTTTGCATTTGTTGCTCGCCTCGTTGTGCTACCATTACCCCTTATTAGAAACCATTTTTGACCAAATTTTGAGTTTGGGATTTAGGCCAAGTTTGGATTTTCATGGGGCTTCTTGGAGATTCATATAGATCGTGTTGTCCCCGACAAAACCTAGGAGTTTCGTCGGATTCGGAGCCGTTTCGTTTTGATGGCTTTTGAGATTTTCATCTCAAATTGAGGTAGGAGGTGTCTTAGGATTATATTTGTGTTGTATTGATGATTATATATGCTTATACACTTGTATGCATGTTTTGTATAAATCTTAGAATTTAATTTTAATTAATTTCTTTGTAAAGGATTTAATGCTCAAGGATATGTATGACTTGGAATTGAATTGTAATATGCTAGGAAATTATGCTTGGATATGTTGGTTAACATATATTAAATTTGGCTCATTTGATTAAGAATTACAACTTTTATTTAATATTTATCTTTAGTGAAAGTTTAATTCACATGGTCATAACAAGCATAAAATCAAGTTGTAATGTGATATTTAGATAGGCCTTGGCATGTTCTCTAACATATCTTAAATTGAGAGCATTTGGAATTGTTTAAAAATCTAGAGGAAATTAATTAATTAGCTTAATTAATTTTGTTTTAAGTGTTTTAATCACTTAATTAGTCGTTTGGAGTTATATATGTGATGACCATGACATGTCCTTCAACATATATTAATTTGGGGTTATTTGGAATTAATTTAGAATCTAGAGAATTTGATTATTTTTGCTTAATTAAATTCTATATATTTGCTCCATGGATTTTATTACGTTTTGGAAGTTGTTTCTATGTTTAAATCATAGACTTGGACTTGTTGTATGTTCACTTGGTTATATTTTGAGAATTGGATAACATAGTTGTTATATTAATATTCATGAGAATGTGTTTTCCTTAATGAATATGTTGTTGCCTTATGTAAGAAATTGCACTCTTTGTATTGGACATTTTTCATGCCATAGTAGTTGTGGACTTTGTGCATGTATTGTATATGTTTCTAAATTTGGTTGTGCTTGGTAGATAGTTGATATCTTGTATATACATGTTGATATATACGTTGTTGCACAACTTGTTGATTTTGGAAACTTGGGGATGTCGTTGTTTGGCTACGGCTAGGACTTAGTTTTAGTACGGGGGATTGTCCCTCTATATAGTCTAGTGTGCACATAGGGAGGTTACCCGTGGGCTAGTAACCCTAAAGTAACTATGGTATTGGTCTGATCCAGCGTGACGTCCAAGTATCCACTTTGGTTGATTTCGCATTTCGTTTGAAGTTGATAACTATATGATGTTATAACTTATTGTTTCTTATTTGATTCTCCACTTTTTGTTGCAGGATGTTAACTTTGTGAAATCATGCTTTATGCGTTGTATTGGAAATTCCAATGTTGGTTAAAGTGTATTGATATCATGATTTGTGTTTTGATGTTCAAATATGGCTTAGGAATGATCCTATAAATTCATTTGGACCATAGATGTTAGGTGGCATGACCCATTTTGGTAATTCTTGTGTTTTAGATTTCGAGTTCATAACTTTGAAAATCTATGTTTTGTTGCTTTGTATAACATGCTTCCATGTTGTTTGAATTGCATGAATGATGTGTTTCATGCTAGAAATGATCTTAGGTAGTTTAGGATGCTCCCCGAGTCACACATTGACGTAGACGTTAGGTGGCATGAGCCCTTCAACATGTTTCACCATAAGGTGATAATTTGTAAAACGCTAGGTCGATGCATGCTCACTTCCTACGAGTAACTTTATGTTACTCACCCACGTAGTGGGGACATTTTTCAGGTATGAAGACTTGGTTCATGGTGCTCATTGCTCCTTGGATGGCTTATAGTTTTTAAGTTTCCATTTTATGCAAGTGTTAGCATAAAATGCCTCTTTGTAACCTTATGTATCAAAATATGTATTATTTGATTCTATATATGTAGTGTGTACATGAGTTCACTCTTTACAATGTATTTAACATGTATATGATGAGGCCGGAGGCCAATGACATGTATCTTGTTTTCTATGCATTTTAGTTTTCGAGGTTTGTTATGGAAATGTTGAAAAATGCTAAGATATTTCTTCATTGCTTTTGCATCGGGTGTGGGAATTCCATTTTTATTCTTTCATAGGGTCTCATTAATCATGTTTGAAGTGTGGCCAAGGGCCAAACGGTAATTTGAAACCATTTGTCAATTTTGGTTTTCCTTTTTCTCATTTCAAGTTTATTTTTGCCTTTTTGCCAGTTAGGGGGTCAGATTTTGCATCGGTGGTATTTTTGAGCCATGGACCATTGTAGCACATCTTATTAGGTAAGTTACATTTGCGTGCATGGTCGTTTACGGGTAAAGCTTCTTCTTTGGTGAAATGAGCCTTCTACGGACTCATTTTACACTTTTGTTGCATATTCTGACCTAAGGGTATTTTGAAAATTTTCTTTGGGAAATAAATTCCGTTCTTCATATAGTTGAATAGAAAATGTGATTTTAGGGGGGGTTTCTTCTTTGTATTTTTCCGGGAAATGTCGTCTTGGTATCGGAAATCGATCCCGAAGTTCAGCTCTCAGTTTTTAAATTTAGCAGCTTTTTGGACCCTCTAGACCAGTTTTCTTGGAAGGGCAATTTGGGCATTTTAAAGTGAGTATTTTTTTATTTTCCTCTTAAGTCATATAGAAAACTCAATTTTGAGGGGGGTTTCTTCTTTGTGTTTTTTCAGAAAATGTCATCTAGGCCCTCAAATTTCTATTTTTTCCGGAAAAACCCCTGATGCCAGGTTTTTGGGTCGCACCCTTACTGCCCCTTCACATCTAAACGTTTAGATGGAGTCTCGTAACCTATTACATGAGTGTGGGCAGCGTTTTTGTCACTGTTTTTGGCCTTCTAAC